AAATCTAGCATCTACTTTTTATATAAGGTCAGATATTATCTAATATACCCTTATCTAGGACCCTTATGCCAATGGATGATTTTCTTCAAGAAGTTTTGTGGAAAAAACAAAAACCAAAACAAAACCATCCAGAGGACCTTCACTATCAGCAAAGACAAGTAGCAGGCTGTGTGCCAGGCTTACTGTAAAGGCCACATGTGCTTGCGGACATTTTAAGGAGCTCACAGCATACCCCCGTGTGTGGCACACGCCTGTGTGCATGTGCGTATTGGGCAACACCACCTGAACTGAGGGGTTTATTATTATTATCATCATCATTATACGTTTTTGCTTTGTTGAGACAGGGTTTCTCAGTATAACAGCCCTGGCTGTTGGACTCTCTTTATAGACCAGACTGGGCTCGAACTCACAGAGATCCATCTGCCTCTGCCTCCTGAGTGTTGGGATTAAAGGCGTGCACCACCAGGGACAGCTTTCTTGTTTGTTTTTGGTTTTGTTTTGTTTTTATAGGGGGTGATTAATAAAAATAAAAAGGACAAAGTTTAAGTAAAATGGATTAGGGAGCACAAGGAGAAGTTAGAAGGCTGTAGCTGTGGAATTTATATGATCAAAATACATAGTTATAAATGTATGGAATTTTCAAAAAGAAAAATATTCAAAAGACCCTCCCCAACATGACTGCCCAGACATGAGCTGAACAATGACAACACCAACAGACATGCCAAAATGGGCTGGGGAAAAGCCCAGGAGGCTTCAACACTACAGAAAAAACTGTAGGACACCAAGGAAAGCTGGAAGGTGGTCTTCTCCAGGGAAGAGCACACCAGTTGGTTGTTCAGTGCGAAAGAGATAGCTCTGAAAACATGCAAGTAAAATTTTATGAACAAACAGGCTATATTTAGGAATACATATGCATATACAGACATGTATGTGCGTGCAATAATTAATGAAAAAGAGGCCATGAAGATGACAGAGTGGGGAGGAACATATGGGAGGGCTTGCAGGGAGGAATGGAAATGAATAAATGTTGAAATTATGTTACCGTCTTTGAAATAAAAATAAAAGATTAAAAAAAAAACCCCTCATTTGAGCCAGTAGTAGTATAACAGTTTTTAAGTTGTAACTTTCACAGATGGGGATAATCTACTATGAAGTATGAAACCAACACCCTTAAGATAAATATATTACCAGATTGGAGTGTCCTTAGTAGTCAGCAAAGATAAATGTTTAACAATGCATGCAAAACTGAGCACTTTATTGTTAAATCAAACAGAGCCTCAAGTACTCATAAATCTGCAAATGGACAGGGCCTAGACTGAGTAATCAAAGCAGGTACTCCCATTAATGGAAGGATATTGGCGTTGCTGGTGTATTAGGTTTTGATGAGCTTAATCTCAGTTCTCAGTATACCCCATTTGTCTGTCTTCATTTCAGTCTCACCAGCCTCATGATAATTATGGACCTGTAAATCTTCATTTACTAAGTGAAAGCTACCCACATTTCTCTTCCTAAGTGGTTTCAGTCCATAAAAGGAGGCTCCAAACCTTGGCTACACACACCAGCTCTTCTAATTCCATATCACATCATACAATATAATGTGTGTTCTGTGATAGTGTGTATATGACGGTATCCTTACATCATTGTTAGAAAATTAGACAGTGTCTATTTACCCTGTCATCACAGCCCTGCCCAAAATCTAAGCTCCAGCAATTGAATAATGAAATATGTACTTTCCCAATCCATTTAAAATGATTTACACCCATCTATGCAAGTGATTGCCCATGTACATTCCTTCATAGTATATTTATTCAGCTTTAAAATCTACATAATAACACAATTTGCACACATTATTCTCTAACTTATTTGATTCCTGTTACCTTTTTAAGATACAGCTATGTCTAATTACGTGTTTCTTTATATGTGTATATGTGTCAAAGAGCTCATATGGGGGTTTGCAGGAGTCAGTTCTCTCCTTCCACCTGGAGCCAGAACTCAGGGACTCAGGCTTGGTTCCAGAGACCTGTACTTGCTGAGTTTTCTTGCTGGTCTCCTTCTGCTTTTACTGCTGTATTGTACACATAATGAAAAATTTCTGAATATTTCTCCTTTACTCACAGGCATGCATTTTTCTGTCATAAAAGTTACTTGACATCGAACTACAAGGTCATAAGATAAATTCACACATTATAGTTTCACTGAATGGTGCCAACTGAAACTTTGAAGTAGTTGTATTAACCTTCAACCTTCTCAGCCATTAATGAACATTTGGTTCCACTCACATCTTTAAAACTCTTACTACTGACTTTAATCATTTTGCTCATAGTGATCTGCAAGTCAAATTTTCTCCTGTTCTGTCTCTATTACAATTACAGTCACATGATTATGTAGGAGGTTATAAACATTTTCATGTTGATTAACTACCTTGACTTCCTACCCTTTACTACTTTCTGCAAGTTATTACGATGGGCATATGTGTTGTTACAAATGAAGACATCGGTTGTGCTTTGGGGTCCTTTACTGAGTTTGTCTTCAGACTGCCTCTACATTCATGAAGGTTTCTGGCAGGATTACTAAAGCAGAGCTCCATTTTGAAAATATGAAAGTTATTAGCTGATTTTTGACTTGCAGATCCCCAGGCTGCTTGGCCAAATCCGTCCCTGGGCTACAGTGGTATTCTTCCATTCCAACCACCTATCCTTCTACTTTAGGATTAAAATTGTTCTGTGTTCTTCAGCCTTCCTTCCCTTTTTCCCTACATGTTTTCTTTTCCACAGTATTTCCCCCAATAAAACTCTTGAATACTTCATATCATGTTGGGATCTGTTTGGAGAATCTAGAGTGATAGCTATATACATTACTTTTTCATCCTCTATGGTGACATATTTTGTTATGAATTTTATATAGACTGTTTGATGTAAATGTCATTTTATGTTTTGACTTTCATGCCTCCTCTTAAAGTTGTCCTTTAGAGCACAAAGAAAAGACATTCTGCCCTAATAATAACAAGTTTCATTGATTAAGAACATAGATCATAGAAATATATGGTGTACAGTTTTCATTTTTACACTTTTAGTTTTTAATTAAAATAGATCTTTTAGACATGATCCTAAAATACCTCTAGCTCTAAATCTATCACAACAAAGTAACCAAATATTTTTAGGTTTTACTAATAATGAAATCTAAAGTTTGGCTAAATAATTGTATTAACTCTTTTAATATCACTCTTCATCCTGATCAAAGCAGTTTTGCAGATTTGTAGCTTTTTTTAAAGAAATATTAATTCACTGCTGTTTCTATTGAAAAGAATTGACATAGCATGATCAAATGAGTGAATTATGGAAAAACATGTAAGATAGCTAGTTCTTCCTTATAGAAATAAAACCATCTAAAAATATAAGTGGGAAACTATTTAGTTAACAATATGGAAAACCTTAAAATATTTAGTGATAGTAATAGCTCTAATTAAATGAAGAAAATTACAAATCTTATTATATTTAATACAATATTTGAATCAAGAGAAAGGCATTTTTAAATTTGATGTTGCAAGCTAGGATTCTATGTAAATACATGGTATTTAAAATTTGCAAATAAATTCTGATGTGGTTATCTTAAGCTAAAATCTTTGAAGTATTTAATTTATGGGAAAATTGTTTTGGTTGGAATTATGGCTTCATCATCCTATGCCCTTGATATCGTGGTATTAATAGTTCTTTTATTTGAAATGCTACTGAGGAAGAACTTCTGCGTTCAGTGAGCTCAAGTCAACACCCGAGGCTGTGTAAGCTCCTCTTCTAATTGCATATATTATTTTAATAGTTGACATGGTTACTATGTCAAAGACCAAGTGAGCAATGAAAGCCAACTTTTATGAGGAAGGACTATGCCTTGTTTTCCATGTATTAGACAAAAATAAATAAAAAGTAATAATTGTATTTTATTAAATAAAATGGTGATGAACTATTTTTGACTTGCAAAAGCAAAGGAAGAAAAGTACATAAGAAACTTTTAAGTACGGGGAGAAGGTAAGGAGATGGTAGGAAATAATAGACAGGGCTGGGAGGAGAGAAAGGAGATTAAAGTAGATGGGTACTTGACTGTATCGTTCCTCACATCACAGGAAGGACTCTTTTCTGTCTGCTGTGTGGCTTACTTCAATTATCTAAACAATTAACTTGCCAATTAAATGGACACTGTTTTGTAATCTGTTGTAAATGGCTTATTAAATATTTAGGTTGTTACTTAATTCTCCCTCCAGGATTATAGCTTGCCTTCTAAATTAGGTTTACACTGTCTGCAGTCCTGGACTATTTCTTAGAAACACAGATCTTCTTTTACTCTGCCTTCACTATTGTTACCACAGAGAACCTCATTACTAGGGAAGGAATGACAAATGTGAGAGGACAGTGACAGGAGAGGTAGCATTAGTGGGCAAGGACGCAAAAATAATGGACAGGGATGAGGATGTTTGTGCTGTTGTTTAGGAAGGTGAATGAAAGGAATGTGGAAATAAATTGACTTGTCCTGCTGTCAGCCCTGGAGATACCTACCTGTTCCTGGGCTGTGAACAGCTTTGCTTTAGCTTATCTTTTTAACATTAGTCTCACTCAGTGCTTTGATGTGTTTTTAAAGAGTAATTTTAAATTGAAAGTACATTTTAACATTTCAATAGCCTTTGAGTTTATATGATGGACTTATGGGTGGTCTCCATATATAAGCATTCCACAAATGCACATATATACTAGCTTAAATGTTTTCAAATCTTATTTAATGACCATGAAAAGCATTTTTAAAATGAAAAAGTTTTACATCTTAAATTTTGGCCATGTTATTTTAACCAGCTAAGTGAATTGCGTTTGAAATAATCAACATGCAGCGTTCAAACATTTGAATGGTTGATGCAGGAGAGTCTGAAATAAAGTTGCATCTGAAGGAAAATGTGCTTTTCAGCTTTAGATTGAATATACTAAATTTTCTTTCCGGTGTTCTGCTTTTCATAACAGGACATTTCCAAGTTTGCAGAAAAAGACAACACAGTTATTGGAGAAGGTGGAGTAACACTGAGTGGAGGTCAACGTGCAAGGATTTCTTTAGCAAGGTGAACGTTGAATTGTTGGTCCAGTGAGCGTTTGCTGTGGATACCGTGCATGTTCAATGATATATATATACATTTTCCTACTGCTTCGTATTCTGTCCTTGGAATTGATATTTTCTTTTAGGAACTATAATCAATGCAGTATTCAGATATGCCAAAGATAGTGGCTTTCTCAAAATGCATTCTCTTATTTTTATTGGTCCATACTTGTTGATTATGTTGCATGGATTGTTGTGAACAGAAAACTGTGGAATTCTGAAGAGAACATGAAGGTGAAATGACAAGTTTCTGTTAATCCCGTCATACATTCCTTTCTTCTCCCTGTCACCAGATACCTCTGCTTTAGGTTTCTGTTTATGCTTCTAAGTTTAAACAATATACATTTTCATTTTTAGAGCATAATTTATAATAACAAAGATATTAAGGCAAATAATGTCACTAGGATTGACTTCTCATTCATTTGAGACAAAGGACAAGGTCTGCCATGTAGGAATCATGAGCTTCCTGTGCAAGCTGTGTGTGCCGCCACACGTAGCTAATATTCACACTGAGCCACTGAGCACATGCCTTCATGTGTGATGCTGACCGTCCTCAGGGTCATGTCTAAAGCATCTTATTTAAATTGTCACTCCTGTTTAAAGACAATTGATGGCACGGGATTTACTGTGTTCTCTAACGTTATTCAAACAAAATTATTTTATTATGTTACCAAAGTTGTTCATGAGAAATTACATCGGTTCAGTGGTGTCTTAGCATCTTGGTCCATTCTCTTACTTTCCAAACCTGAAAAAGTAAACACTGAGTTCCTACGATGGATGTCTTGATACCACCCTTCCATCCTGTGATCCTGTGTGTGTGTGTGTGTGTGTGTGTGTGTGTGTGTGATCTCAAGCCTCCTAAGCCTACAAGCAGAAATTGTTCTCTTTATTTTATGGAAGAAATCACGAGATAATTGAGGTAGTCAGACATTAACTTGCCAAAAGCCACAAGGAAATGGTATGCTCACTATTTAATCCAGGTCATCTTGACTCGTTAAACTTCGACATGGTCTTGAGAATGTGCTGGGAGATCAGCTCGATAGCCACAGAGCATTCGTAGATGAGATGATGACTTCTTAATCATGAGAGTTAGTTCCCTCATCTGTGAGACAAAGACCATGTCTTCAGCATCACATTTGAGGTTTAAGAAAAGCATGGTGTGTGACTTGAACATGGTATTTATATTTCCTACTTGAAGTATAGTCACTTTTGCTCTGTACAGTGTTCTGTACTGCTGAGACTAGTTGCCACTGTCGCTCTCATCCAAATGTGCACTGTGTCATCTACTTTTGTAGGAAGAACACAAGATTAAAATCTCAAGAAACTGCTCATACATGTGAAGGAGAGTCTTTAATCTGTTTGTAGTGCTAATAAGCCACCAATACATTCAGAGTAAATTTTAGAGAAAACCACTTTACTATTGCTCCCACTTATTGTTTAAGGTCAAGAAGTCATATCCAGTGGTGGTAGCTTTTTGGCAGGTTTTTGAGATAGCACAGAAAAATCATATGTCAAGAAAAAAAAAGTGTGTGTGTGTGTGTGTGTGTGTGTGTGTGAGAGAGAGAGAGAGAGAGAGAGACACCTCTGGTATCTCCTTTCTCATAATGCCACTGTGACTATCTTTCTTTATCCTGGTCATTTTCAAAAAGCCCTATTTCTGAGCATCACCATTGGATTGTTTGTCTTCTCACTGCCCCACAGTGGATAAAGAGCTTGTATTAGTTTCAGCTTGTATATTTAAATTATATTGCAGAGAAACAAGTAAAAGCCAATGTGGGTAAAGACTTGAGAGCACAATTTTCATGGAGTCCATTAGATCTTCCGCATTTCCTACAAGACAATTTACAGCATAAAGGGCCTTTATGGTTTTACTTAGAATTTTTCCTATTTCTATTTTGCTTCATTTTTTTTCTTAATTATGTGATGATAAGTACACTTTTAAAACAGAAGTATCAATAATTACTTTCTTAAAGGATATCCTATATAGTTGGGATAGAGGTACATTATGAGTAATCATAACTGAAAAAGTTTAACAGTTATAAAGAAATCATTTCCTTTTTGTTAGTTTGGAAAATGTGCCTTTATATCTTTAGTGTTATAAATCAACTCTTCTTGAAATAAGATCTGGTTAAAGATAGCTCAGTGATGAGCAGCACTGGCTTTTCTTCCTAAGAATTCAAGTTGAATTCACAGCATTGGCATTGTTGCTGTACAATCATCTGTAATTCCATCTAGGGGTTCTGGCACCTTCTCCTGGCCTTCACAGGCACTGCACACACACACACACACACACGGTGCACAGACATGCAGGCAAAACACTCAAAGGCATATAAACCTTAAAAAAAAAGGTTAAAGAACATATGTATTACTTGTTGTGAATCATTAACCCTTTCCTTATGTGTAACACGAAAGAGGTTCAGGGACTGATGATAAGAATCAAATGCAAAATAGATTATTGCACTATTACTCAGTTAATACAACGTGCACTATTGAAAGCTTATGAATAGAAGTTCCTAACAGTGCTACCTCTGCCCTGTGCTGTAGATCGTATGCTTTCAGTGCAGGGGACTCATGGCCGTTCTATAACACAAGTACAGCGTTTAAAGTATGTTTTAAATGAAATTCAAAAAAAATGGAGGGACCTTAAAATTATTTCCATTTTCTTTATAGAGCAGTATATAAAGATGCTGATTTGTACCTGTTAGATTCTCCTTTTGGATGTCTAGATGTGTTAACTGAAGAACAAATATTTGAAAGGTATGTTCCTTGACTGAATTACTTATAATGCTCATGCTAAAAGATAACAAATGTCTCTATCCCCACAGCCTTCAAATCAGCTCTGAAGCAATATATCCACCATTTCTATGACTCAGGACAGTAGAATATAACACAGCCCTTCATGGACAAGGTTGAAGACTGCTTTTGTCAAAACTGTTTCTAATGATTACATATAGAGCCAATTCCTTTTATTGATATCCTGTTATAACAATTGATATTTAAGTATTTTTACATTTTGTTACATTGAGACATGTCTTTCAGTATTTCCCCCCTTTTATTATCATTTATTACAATTTATTTAATTTGTATCCTGGCTGTGGCCCCCGCCCTCATCTCCTTCCAATCCCTCCCTTCCCCCTTCTTCTTCCCCAATGCCCTCTCCAAATCCACTGAAAAGGGAGGTCCTCCTTCACTTCCATCTGACCCTAGCCTATCAGGTGTCATCCATACTGGTTGCATTATCTTTCTCTGTGGCCTGTCAAGGCTGCACCCACCAGGGAGAGATGATCAGAGAGTATGCCACTGAGTTCATGCCAGAGATAGTCACTGTTCCCCTTACTAGGGAACCTCACTTGGATACTACTGAGTCTATGGGCTGCATCTGAGCTGGGGTTTTAGGTCCTCTCCATGCATTGTCCTTGGTTGGGATATCAGTCTTTTCAAGGCTCAGTCCCCAGGACTCCCCAGTTTTTATGGCTCTATTGGTCGCCTTTTGGAGCTCCTGACCCCTCCAGGTCTTTCTATATACCCCTTCTGTCATAAGATTCCCTGCACTCTGCCCTAAGTTTGGCTGTAAGTCTCAGCCTCTGCTTCAAAACCTTGATCAGTAGAGTCTTTCAGAGGCTGTCTGTGGTAAGTTGCTGTCCTGTTCCCTGTCTTCTGTTTCTGATGTCTCTCCCATTTGTCCTTCTGAATGAGGATTAAGCAACTTCCCTAGGCTCTTCCTTGTTGTTTAGCTTCATTAGGAGTATAGATTTCCATTTATGAGTGACTATATACCCTGTGTATCTTTCTGCTTCTGGGATTCCTCACTCAGGATGATCTTTTCCAGTTCCTACCATTTACCTGCAAATTTCATAATTTCCTTGTTTTTTATTGCTGAGTAATATTCCATTGTGTAGATGTGCCACAATTTCTGTATCCATTCCTCCGTTGATGGACATCTGGGTTGTTTCCAGGTTCTGGCTATTACAAATAAAGCTGCTAAAAACATGGTTGAGCAAATGTCCTTGTTGTATACTTGAGCATCTTTTGGATATATGCCTAGGAGTGGTATAGCTGGATCTTGAGGAAGTGCTATTCGTAATTGTCTGAGAAAGTACCAGATTGATTTCCAGAGTGGTTGTACAAATTTGCATTCCCACCAGCAGTGAAGGAGGGTTCCCCTTTCTCCACATCCTCTCCAGCATGTGTTGTCACTTGAGTTTTTGATCTTAGCCATTCTGATGGATGTAAGGTGAAATCTCAGGGTCGTTTTGATTTGCATTTCCCTGATGACTAAGAATGTTGAACATTTCTTCAAGTGTTTCTCTGCCATTCGATATTCCTCTGCAGAGAATTCTCTGTTTAGCGCTGTACCCCATTTTTTAATTGGATTACTTGATTCGTTGCATTTCAACTTCTTGAGTTCTTTATATATGCTGGATATTAGCCCTCTGTCAGATATAGGGTTGGTGAAGATCCTTTTCCAATCTGTAGGCAGTCGTTTTGTTCTGACGACAGTGTCCTTTGCTTTTCAGAAGCTTTTCACTTTCATGAGGTCCCATTTATTGATTGTTACTCTTAGAGCCTGTGCTGTTAGTGTTCTGGTCAGGAAGTTGTCTCCTGTGCAAATGAGTTCTAGACTCTTCCCCACTTTTTCTTCTAACCGATTTAGTGTGTACAGTTTTATGTTGAGGTCTTTGATCCACCTAGACTTTAGTTTTATGCAGAGTGATAAGTATGGATCTGTTTACATTTTCTACATTTAGACATCCAGTTAGATAAGCACCATTTGTTAAAGATGCTATCTTTTTTCCACTGTATGGTTTTGGCATCTTTGTCAAAAATCAGGTCTCCATAAGTTTGTGGGTTTATTTCTGGGTATTCTATACAATTTCATTGATTCACCATTCTGTTTCTGTGCCAGTACCATGGAGTTTTTATTACTGTTGCTCTTTAGTACAGCTTGAGATCAGGGATGGAACTACCTCCAGAAGATCTTTTGTTGTAGAGGATTGTTTTAGCCATTCTAGATTTCTTGTATATTAGACATATAATATAGAGTGAACATATGAAGATCTGTACACCTAAGAAAGCTAATCAAGAAGAGGACCCTATGTAAGATGCTCAATCCCCATTCAGAAAGGCAAAGAGAATGGGCATCGGAGGAGGGAGAAAATAGGGAACAGGACAGGAGCTTACCACAGAGGGCCTCTGAAAGGTTCTGCCCTGCAGGGTATTGAGGCAGATGATGAAACTCATAGCCAAACTTTGGGCAGAGTGCAGGGAATCTTATAAAATAAGTGGGAGATAGTAAGACCTGGAGAGGACAGGAGCTCCACAAGGAAAGCAACAGATCCAAAAAGTTTGGGCACAGGGGTGTTTTCTGAGACTGATATTCCAGCTAAGGACCACTCATGGAGATGGCCTGGAACCCCTGCACAGAAGTAGCCCATGGCATTTCAGTGTCCAAGTGGGTTACATAGTAATGGGGACAGGTAATGTCTTTGACAGGAAATGATTGGCCTGCTCTTTGATCACCTCCCCCCTGAGGTGGGAGCAGCCTTACCAGGCCACAGAGGAAGACAATGCAGCCATTCCTGATGAGTCCTGACTAGACTAGGATCAGAGGGAAGGAAAAGAGGGAGAAAGGGTGGAATTGGGAGGGGAGGAGGGAGGGAGGTACAGAGGAGATACAGAGTGAATAAACTGTAATTAATAAAAATAAATTTAAAAAGGAGTATAGATTTTATTATGTTTATCCTACATTATGTATATTGTATATTCTACTTACTTTTCTTAACTGATATTTTACTTTATGTTGTTGTAAATATAAAATAATGACTTGTTTAATGGTGAATGCCTATACTGTATGGCTGCCTTAGTCCTGTCCTGGATGCCCGTTCCAGGTCACAGGGAACTTGCACATTTACCTCCTGAAAGCTCTCATTACAGCCTAATGGGTATAAAGCCTCTTACAAGCTACAGTTAGTCATATGATTTGATTTCAAATTTAAAAATAATTTCATGAACAACAAAGTAGTTCATTAGAATAGATTCTAGCTACAAAGTGTTTTTGCTTTGTTTTAAGTGGTAGGATATTGTGTGTATTAAAATAATTTAATTATTTATTGGTTTATCTCAAAGTTTACTTTAGGGCATTTTCAATGGTTGAAATATTCTAGAGCCCTGCTTATCTTGGTTTATGCTATGTTAAATAATATTTTAATTCTTGACTTCACTACATTTAACACACGAAGCCAACAGAAGGCCCTTGTCCTAAAGCAATTTTTTTTTTTTTTTGGAAGTTAAATAATGTCACATTATTTTGTTTGATATTTTCACTTATTTCAGTTGAAGGTATACATTAGCAGGGTGTGTCTAGTCACAATCCCAAGAATATGTCAAACTGATCTCAGAATGAAGTACCAACTACCATCAATATCATTTCCACCCCACACAGCCCAACCCCTACTTTTGCTCATAAGCTTCTGAGCTAATCTCTAGTGAAGAAGCACATACATGACAAGGTATTTATAGATCTCTTCAATCTTCCCTTGTTTATTTTCATGAAAAAGGCTGTAGAAGGCTCTAACCGTGCTTCTACTTACCTTGAAGATTATTTTGCCTCCTTCAGTACAGCCTTGCATTTACATAGCTATCATCTCTGAGGATCTAAAGGTGCTCTGTAATGGGCAGTCCATCAAGTTCTCTGAATTACTAATGGTCAGAATGCTGAGTAACTATGGCTGCTCTAAGCATGTGACTCAGTGTAAGAAAAACATTTTCTAAGCCAGTAGTAAACATACAAGAGCACTAGCTCCTAAGTGGTACAGGATCCTGCCTTAGCGGGAAGGTTGCCCTAGAATCTCACATGAACCATTCACTCAGGCCCAGGGCACAATTTTCCTTTGAAGAGTTGTGCTGTTTGTGTTTGTTAAGTTGATGCTTGTTTCGCTTTACATATAATTTAGCTTTATTTGTGGGGAGAAAAGTACCTTTGATTTTAAGGGCCGAATGTTCCCTTGGCTCTGGGGATGCTGCTTAATGACAGAAATATGAGCTTGCATCACAGCCTTCCAGACATACTTGCCTTTTAGAAGTCTGTTCCCCGCAGGCCTCTCCAGTTTAAGACAGAGAAAATTCCATTAAATGTGATACCCCAATACTATGGTTTTGATGTCATGACTATTATAGCCAGTGTCTTACTCTCATGAACTTAATTAAAATTATGTCATTGTTTATACTTAATGATATAGTTATGGCTCTTATTTTTGATATTTTAAAGGATAAAAGAACCTGATTTCTCTTTAGGGCTTCACTTCAGGATTTACTTGTAAACTATATGAAAATTTTACTGGAAGAAAGTTTAATTGATTATGTATTTTTCAGTTGTAATGCTTCTGTTTAAAAAAACAGGTTAGTCAACATAAAATACAACGGAAAATTAATTAAAAATTAAAAACAGAAAAATCTCTGTCATTTTAGAAGTTATATGGAAATATAAATTTTCAGGAACACTAACAATTCTTTTGTTTTCTAGGAAAGAAGACCAATACCAAACAGAAAATAATTTGGTTAAAATAAGATCCTTATTGATTATTAAAAATTGAATTTCATTCTAATTCTACTAGAATTCACCTTTACAACAAGATATGCTACTTCATGCTACAGTATGAGAGGCATCTAATAGTTATTATGGGGTGTTTATATGTATAACCATATTAAGTAAATAATAAATACTCTGATAGAGATTTTATACAGTGAAACATTAAGCTGCTAAAATTAAATATACAACACTATTCATGAAGTAACATTTATATCTTTTATATTCCCAAAGCTGTGTCTGTAAATTGATGGCCAACAAAACTAGGATTTTGGTCACTTCTAAAATGGAACATTTAAAGAAAGCTGACAAAATACTGATTCTGCATGAGGGTAGCTGCTATTTCTATGGGACATTTTCTGAACTACAGAGTCTACGTCCAGACTTCAGTTCAAGACTCATGGGGTATGATACTTTTGACCAGTTTACTGAGGATAGAAGAAGTTCAATTCTAACTGAGACCTTACGCAGGTTCTCAGTCGATGATTCCTCTGTCACCTGGAACAAAACCAGACAGTCATTTAAACAGACTGGAGAGTTTGGAGAAAAAAGGAAGAACTCCATTCTAAATTCAATCAGCTCTATAAGGAAATTTTCCATTATGCAAAAGACTCCATTAGCTATGGAAGAATCTGATGAGGTCCAAGAAAGGAGACTGTCCCTTGTTCCGGACTCTGAACAGGGAGAGACTGTTCTGCCTCGCAGCAACGTGATCACCACTGGCCTCGCATTTCCAGGCAGAAGAAGACAGTCTGTTTTGGATCTTATGACATGTACACCCAGCCAGGGCTTTAGCAGTCTCCAGAGGACCAAAACCATTCGGAAATTTTCCTTAACCCCTCAGATAAGCTTAAATGAAGTGGATATATATTCAAGACGATTATCTGAACAGGGTTCATTGAACATCACTGAAGAAATTAATGAAGATGATTTAAAGGTATGTACTCTCCTAGTCTTAAGACACACCTTATCCTAACCCCATAATTTTGGTAAATTGTGTTACATATTACATGTTTCATGGCATTCCATTTTGGTCTCTGGGTTAAGGGTACAAAGTCCATTACTTACATAAACAACTTCAAAATATAAAACAACTATTTCTGGCTGTAATTGAAATATCATCTCCCCACAAAATGTTCTAACCCAAAACAAGGTCTTAGTACTGAGTCCCTTTAGAAGGCTCATGATATGATATTAATTTTTATAATTTAATAATTATCTGCTTTAGTGGTTTTCTAGGACAATGCGAAGTAAAGTATTATATAAACAAATAGTTGCACTTATGCAGACACCAAAAAGAGTTTGTAAAATGTGGCCTCGATAAGGATTACAAGAACCTGGCTTCTTGACAGGACAAATTCACATTCTGGCCTGAATTTAGTGTACCCTTTCTAATCTTTCAGATTTGTTCTATGTGTTGTGTTTTTGAAAGGATTTCTTTTAAAGAAGATATGTGAAGCTCACCATTTATTAGTGTCAATATTCAGATAGAAGGTCTTAACAGTGTGTTAAGGAGCAAAACGACTTTCCTTAAAATAGAAAGCTATGAAAAACTGGAGGACTATTGTTGACTAAACAATGCATTTGCCTTAGAGGAAGTTAAAAACAGAGTTTTAGTAGATGAACACCTTTAAGGGTGCCAGTCTTTAATACAAAGTCACCTTTGGGGCATTTACAAGTCATTTTGTATCTTTGGGCTAAAGTTCACTCTGTTGTGAAATAAAGGTATAAGTAATTCCCCCAAATAAACATTAAGTATTTCTATAATTTTAAAATAATTTGATAAAAGGTAATTTATCTGAATGATTTAATGTCCATCTAAGTGAAATTTCCAAGGTGAAGTCTATAAATTTTAGTTAGTGTACATTTTAGAGAATGATTTTTTGACTAATTATGTTACTAGGTCACCAGCCACTTCCCTTCTAGGCAATGCACTTCCCCTGTGCTGAGACAGAAGGTTATATCATTGCCTCTATCTACAGAGAAAGGAGACAGAATTCTGAAAAATCCAACAGCTGATGCACATTCAAATGTCCTAAGATGTTCTTTGTAGGTCTTAAATTTAAATAACGGCCAATTTTAATTACACAAGCTAAACTTTAATTGGTGAAACTTACTCCAGTTTAACAGGACTCCTTCTTCATGGGAAATGCCACTTAATGAACCTCATGGATTGTATGAGGAGCAACCCCATCTTTTCCTTTTAGAATATATGGAATCTCTGTTTTGTTTTACATTTTTACAGTGTTTCTTTCAAGAGACAAAGGCTTCTAGAGGAATATATTTTGGATTAGAATTTTGTAATTTAAGTCATAGCTAGGAAGACAACACTGTAATGCCTATGGAATATACAAACATAAGCCAGCTTTTTAAAAAGAAAGACTCAATAGCTAGCAAGTTCCAAACTGCACTTGTCCATGGCTCATTGAAAAAAGTTAAATCTCAAAAGTTTTGGAACTTCGCTCAGTTAGCAACAGGTGTGGGGCTATAAAATCCCGAAATACCAGTGTTCAAAAGAGTCACTGTGCTTCTCACTCTTCAAAACTACGTTGCTCCAGCAGACATCCTACTTGCTGTGGCCTTCACACATGACATTTTTATTGATTTATATTTTTAAGAACTACTTAGCTATAAACTGTACTGTTTCTTCATTTTCCTGAGTTTCAAAATGCAGCCTGAGTGGTGGCATGGAATAGTACTTTCTCAGAATCACACCTCTCTTCTCAGGAGTGTTTTTTTGATGACATTGTGAAGATACCTCCGGTAACTACATGGAACACATACCTCCGGTATTTTACTCTCCATAAAAGCTTGCTCATCATACTGATTTGGTGCTTGGTTGTTTTTCTGATTGAGGTAAGAATGTTTGGCTGTAAACTGTGACTGTGACTTTAACCATCATTAAGAAAGCTGTATGCATTTGTATGGGCATAAACGTGTGTCTGTGCAGTGGTAGTTTCCTGTGCAGTCTGTGGATTCTGAGCACGGACAGGAGCTGGAGAGCCGGCTCAGTGGTTAAGGGCACTGGCTGTTTTTCCAGGGAACCGAGCTGAATTATTAGCAGGGACAGGATGGCTCACAGTTATCTGAAACTCAAGTCCCAGGGAATCTGGTGCTTTTTTCTGGCCTTTGTGGGCACTGCATGTGTGTGATTCACAGACATAAATGTAGATAAAGTACCCATACACTTAAAAGTAAGTTAAAAAATTTTAAATCCACGATTGGAATTACTATTAATAGTTCAGCCCTTCAGACAGAACATAAAATATGCTTTAATATACTGTTATGAAGAATTGCATAGAACATTGTTGTTGGGCATATTTAATGTATTCAACATATTTTAAGATTCATACATATTGTAAAAGGTTACTATAACAAAGCCAATAACATAACTATCATCTCAACATTTTCTTTGTTTTTGTGACAAGAGTGACTCAAATCCATGCATCTAGCAAGCACAATACACTTTTATTACTTACACTGTTCACATTGTTTATTATATCTCCTCATATTTAGTTTTTGATAGATTCAAAAGCTCAGGCTGTAAGGAGTGCATATGAATTGAAATTATGCACTGAGCAATTCTAGATCTTGGTCTGGTAATTGACTGTGCAGGCAGTGACTCATGTGGTGGTGATTCTTGTTTGCCTACAGTCCCTTTGTCTTGGGCAGTGTCCACCGAGGGAGGCTTGGGGGAGCTCACAATGACATAATTATCCCATTGTGTGTTGACCTGCTACACAAGTATGCACGATACTTTTCCTGTTGCTATGATAAAGCACCCATTAAGTTAAGGAAAGAAGGATTGCTTTTGGCTTAGTGTTTGAGGGGCTGTATCCATGGTGACTGGGAAGGCATGGCAGCCGGGGTCGGCTGGTCATACTAGAAGCAAATAGTGAGCAGGAAGTGAAGCCAGACTGTGAAACATGAAGTCCTGTTTCCCCTCCCCACCACTCCATCAAGCCGCAAGAGCCTAGATTCCACAGCATTCCTGGATAGAGCAGTAGCTCGAGACCAACTATTCAAACACAGGAGCCTAGGAGACATCTTACATCCAAACCATCGATCTAAGGAAACCATCACCTAAGGAAAAAGAAATCTTGTCATCAGTCAAGAAATTAACTATTAAAGAGAATGCAAATGCCACATAAGTACTTTAAAAAGGGAGGGGAAGGCAGGACAGGAATAGGGGGTAGAGGGCAGAGAAGAGAAGGGACAAAATTTAGTCATGCTGTCTTTTAGGCAGAAAACAGTCTAATGGCATGAAGGTTTTGTTTTTGTTTGTTTGCTTAGCTTATTGTTTTGTTTTTGTTTGTTTTTCCAATATCTTATAGACACTAGCCAATTAAGTTGCTCTCAAAATGCAGAATTACAAGAAGGCAATAATAACAATACAGTCATTTTTAAGTATGTGTATAGTAGTAGAACTAAATATCATATTTGCTAATGTCCAATTAAGTTACTTTCTTCCATTTCTTTAAACTTAAGCTTTTTCTTAGTATCAATGTGTACATTTCTTTTGGCATTAGAATGTTTTCCTGGGACATTCCATTATGGAGCAGGTGTCAACCCATAGTGGTAGTTTAGTTTTATAAGCACTGTTAAAGTACCTAATGATGAGAAACACCAAAATGTATATCCTCCTCTGTCACAGTTTTACCTATTTTTCAGCATTAGTAAGGGCTGTATTTCCAGTTAGCTTTATGATGTTTTAGCATTCATTAAGTGTGTTTCCCTTTTGTAATATCAAATAAACTTAGTGGCCCACCCTGTCTTTCCTTCAGAGTCACTAAACTAAGGGGCAAGAGCACCTGCTTATTTAATTTGCTTACTTTTTACAGTCTTGTGTCATTTTGAAAAAGTATATATTTGGTACATTTTCCTTAAAAAGCAAAATGTCTTCTGTAAGCTCTTGTTAACACTGAGCAGACTACTATTTCTATCGAGCTACTCTTTCTAGTGGCTCTTCTTGGCAGCATATCATGGACTAGAAAGGGAAAATAGAAACAGTGGATTAAGGGGTGTTTCCTCTACAGTAACCAGGTGGTGTTTGGAGAGCAGCTTCTGAAGGTCCTGTTCACTGCCTGGTCTTGTGGTCTTTAAGACTGTCAGAGAGCTGCTGTTGCTGTTTGTTTATAAGGAGTCCCTGAGTGGCTTTGCGTCAGTAATAAAATGGAATGTAGTGCACTTCCATACTGCCTCTGCTGTTGATGATGGCAGTCCTCTTAGCACATCTTATTTTTTGTGGACGTGTATTTTAGGGCATTATTTGTCCTACAAAATATTGAAAACCTGTGAATTAAAAGTATACTAAATTCCATGTGACATATGGACAGTGACATTTCTCCAACTTATAAATAAAAATGAATATTTATTTTGTTGCTGTTACATCCTAATCATTCAGGAGTGTCCCTCTTTCAAAAATCAAATGAGCTTTATATAGTCTTGAAGCATTTGGAAGTGAAATGATAGTGTGGACTCCATTGTTTCTTTAATCCCAAAATATTATTCCTAAAGGCCACTGACCAATGCTTTGAAAATGCTTTTTCCTATAGTCAGTAGATATAGTTTGGATTGGTGAATCCACCTTATAGACAGGAAATAACTTCATTAGGGTCTATGCACCTTCCATAGAAAACTTTAGAGAAGTTGTTGGTTATTCCCTTGGTAAATATGTATTTCTGGGAATTGCTCCTATTCAGTGCATTGGCAATGACAATGTTGCTGACTTTCCTCTAACTGGAAAAAGGATGTGAGCAGGAACTGAGGAGTGTCTCAGAACATGTACCTAAGCAGGGTCTGGGGTAATTTGATTAGTTTAACGATGGAGGAAGACATTTGTATCAGAACAAAGACTCTTATTTAAAAGTTTAGATTGTTGCTGGGTTTCTTGTTTTGCATTGACTTTAGACTTAAGAAAGAAGCAGAGATTTTCAGGCGTGAACCTAGCCTTTACCTTACCAGCTGAGCCTTCTGAGGGTGGGATTTGGAGGAGAGAAAGGAAGGGGCTAGGATCAGCCTATAAAGTGATTAAATAGATAAGTAAGTAGTAAGTAAATAAGTAAATAAACTGGAAAAGCCAAAGCAAAACAAAACAAAAAAGAAAGCAGAGGTTTTCTTTTTCTCTTGAGAGAGTACATAGAGACTATGTGTACAATGAGAAAACATGGCAATTAAAATAATGCCATTAGATTTTTGCCATAAAAAATTAACAAGATAAACTAAAATAAAATGTATTATGTAAGCATACAAGCTCTTTACTTTCCTGAAGGATTTAATAAATAGTGGAACAGATAAGGGAATGGACAAAATGAGTGAGAGCGGAACTCCACAGGTTTGATGTGCTCTTTCATGAAACTTTACATTTAAAAGAATTGCTGAAGCTACTGACACCAGAGGTGCAGCGCTATGGCGTGGAGAGAGTGTGTGCACTTTGGTGTTGGCCATATCCAGTCTAAAAATGAGTGTGGGAAGCACAGATAAAGATGCTAGAAACACAAAGAACCAACTGTGGATTGTTCCATTCCAGGTGGCTGCTTCTTTATTTGTGTTGTGGCTGCTTAAAAAGTGAGTATTGCACACATTAGTGTTGATTTTGTTTTGTGTTTTATTTTTTCATTTGGAGATTATAAAATATTTTAATGTCTGCTATGTTTCATTGTACCCCTTCACATTACTCCAGATTATGAGAGGAGAAAAACAAGTTACAGTCATTCTTCCGTTTCCGAGGAGATTGGGTTCCAGGACAAGGATAGTAAATTCTGAAATCAAGTCCATATGTAAAATTGTTTAGTATTTTGCATATGTCCTATACATATTACTACATGTACTTAAAGCTTCATATGCTACCGAATTTAATGTAATTTTCATGTAAGTAGTTGTTATAATGAATTAGTTAGGGAGATGATGTCAAGAAAAACAAGTATGTGCATATTCAGTAAAGACACAGTTTTAAGAACATTTCCTCAGTCCACGGATGACTGAACCATTAGACACTCAGAAGCTCCATGAGGCTTACTGTATGTTGAAGTTGTGAGCTATTCAGTGCCTTCATCTCCTCACTCATTTCTAAAATATTTATTGTGTTCAGTTTCCATGAAATGAGAAAAAAATACATGAAACATTTCACATTTAATACTAAGAATTTTGCTTAAATAAGGATCAGTTATGTCTTTCTTAATTATGAGAAAATATAAAACATTTTTGCTATACAAAATTTATAAAACTTTTAAGCCAATATTTCATGGTTTTGATTCTTAGTTTTATTAGTGAGTCAGTTGACATGTTTGATTGTCAAATAACACTTTTGTTTTGTTTTACAGCAAACCTCTTGACGGTGGAAAAAATGCTACTAATAATTCCAGTAACACCTATGTTGTGATCATCACCGGTACCAGCTTCTACTATATTTTTTACATTTACGTGGGCGTGGCTGACACTTTGCTTGCCCTGGGCTTCTTCAGAGGTTTGCCACTGGTGCACTTCTTAATCACAGCATCGAAACTTTTGCACCAGAAAATGTTACATTCCATTCTTCATGCACCGCTGTCAACCTTCTACTCAATGAAAGCAGGTACTTTTGACTAGGTATAGAAAATGGAACTGCCCACTGGTGTCTGTGGAGCTCAAGGGCTCCCTGGCTTTCTAGCAGCCTCATGGGCTTGAACGCAGGCATCTGCCCTTCGTTCACCCACCTTGTTTCACATTTCTAAGATACTGCAGGCAGTTACTTGTAGTTCCCAGGGTTTCTGTCAGCCTAGTAGAACAACTCATTATGTTACAATGTGATTCTGATGCGATGGTCTCAGAAAAAGCAGCTTCTTTTGGATAATTTGGAATTTGTCTTTTCACATACTTGCTCTACCTTTTCCCCGGGCGTTTTTTTGTTGTCTTTTAATATTGTTTAAAGGAAGAAAAAAACTGAGGTTGTCACGGAAAAATATAACTGTTTTGTGTGACCCCTCAAAAGTACTCATATGAATGCATTAGAGGACTTTGGAGGTGGGGGAGAGTTTTAAAATATTTTGAGGCAATTATTGTACATGGTACTTGGTATCACGCATGTGACACCGATTTAATTAAAGTCACAGAAAGAGATTGGAAAAAAGAGTCAAACATTTCAAAACCTATGGTCATAAGGATCTTTGAAAATGTGTTGGTTTAACTCCCAGTGGCTAATTCATTTAAGGCCTGTGAGTATAATAAGTGGTCTAATGGCTATCACTGGGAATCCTGCAGTGTGGCCCCAAGTCAGGAAATGCCTGACACATAAAAATGAATAAGCTATCATCCTTGCACCAGAAAAACTTAAAAGCAAAGGAGGCAGGCCAGGCATAAAAGTTACACTAAAGTTGCAGAATTGAGACTTTTTGGCATGATCTGTTCCTACAAACCTCAAAATGACTGCACATCAGTTTATCTAGGAGGCAAAAGCTAAGTGTTGGTGGACTTGAAAGATCATTCTATTTATCCTGGAGCCCTTATGCGTCACCAAAGGTTTGCATCATTTGCATGTGGTCCTGGTCATCCTCTTTTGTTCTAAGAATTTTGGAACTAAGGGAATGGTCAATTCACTTGATCCAGTGACTCTGTTGTAGAATTCTGAGACCTCAGGAGGATAGGAGTTTCCCCAGACTTCTGGGGAGTAAAACATGGACCATGAAATACAGTGGAAAGGACACAAACATTTGAGGCTCAGTTTGGCCACACATGAATGGTAATTATGGCTTTTAATAGCCCACATGCAATACATATCAGCTTCTCTCTATCATTCCTGTCTTTGGGGTGTTGATTCTAAAAGGAGTACACTTTTCATTCCCCCTCTCCCCACAGCACCCCCTCCCCACATCTCCTAATATCCACTCGGTGCATTCTTAGGTATCTGTCTCCCTTATTGGTGATCAGCATGCATTCTTCATTTCTCATTTGTCTTCCCAAATTTTCATCTGTTTCTTAGGGTAGTTCCTAAGCACCTTTGCATTGTCTGTGTCCCTCCTTATTCACCTTCCTGAGACCTAAAATAGCAAGTTCATGTTAGAAGGCTCCCTTCCTCCTGCTCTCATTGTGGCTATACATAAGGATTGTGCTTTCTATTTTTTTTAAATACTATTAGATTCATGGTTTATGATTCTCCTTTGGTTAACTAGTTATTCTGATATACTTGGCAACAACCACTTGGAATTTCTCTTCAAAATTGTTCATTGACCTTGACTCTCCTTGACAGTGATTTTTCTCAGACTCTTTGGTTTTCTATGTTACTCTTCCCCACTTTGTCACACTCAAATGATTTTGCAGCCATATAAATAAATTATATAGGTCCTCAGCAAAGTATAATTACACTAGACAGAACACTACTGATTGAAATAAAATTTGAAATATAGATATCACTATGATGACACTTTTTTTTTGCCAAAGCAAACATTCAGTTTCTAAATAGTAATTACAAATATCATGGGATGTACATTCCTTCTCTGGGTTATTATTGAAAGGATATACAAATATCCTTAATGAATATGTTAACTAATATGTATATACATATATGTACACATACATATATATACTATGTGTATATATGTATATGTTCATCTATGTGTGTATCACATATCCATAGAACCCTCTTTGCTTTGTTGTATGGGTCATAAAATAAAAATGGAGTAAATCTATTGACCTCAAAAGTCTACCATCTGGGAGATGAGGCAAGACATGCATATGTGCATGTACACAAGCAACATGTACACATGCAGGTTCTGCAACTTAGGCATGTGGATAGGAAGAGAATGCTTCTGGATGCAGTAAATACCGCTGCTCTCTTGCAGACAGGGTATGTGAGTTGAGCCAGGAAAAAGGTATACATTTGACAAGAATACATGAGGAGGAAGGGTTTTGATAGATGGAAATGACACATAGGCAAAGTAGAGAGGTATGAAGGGGTAGACTCTCTAAAGAATAGACACATATACCTGACTACAGGAACCTAAGTTAGTTAAGGACAATTATAGGAGAATATTAAATATTAAACAAAGAATTTGGTCCCTATTCTGCAGTTAATAATGAATGAACAAGATTCACTACTGCAATGTTGTTACAGTGTTATGTTATACTTTATATAATTGTTTGTTTTTGGACAATGACTCCCTGAAGGACAGGGAGAGTGGCTTAATCACCACTCTTGTCCTGTACCCATCATTGTCCCAGGCATGTGGTAGACAGAATTTTTAGTTCATTGATGCAACAATCAGGACTCAGACATGTGAATCTGGAATTTAGAACACAGGTTGAAGGTTGGCTTGCTGGTGAAGAAGGTAGAGAAAATGAAAAAGGAGACCTAACTGGCATGCACTGAGACAGCTGCGTGTTCTGAAGTGGTGCATCCAAAGGGCAGAGCACTCAGGAAGGAGGGTGTGTATGTTCTCCGTGGTGGAGTTGAACATAAAGAAATGAGAAGAACACATCCGTTAGCGTGTCTCTGGGAAGCGGCAGGAGTGAGGTTTGAGTGGTAGGATGACCTGACATTCCTAACCTTAATTATAATGAGAACTTGAATCTCAGAGGGCTCTCTTTTTAAAATAGAAGTTCAAAAGTAAGGAGACAATAGCTTGAATACATAGTTAGAAATTTGAACAAAGCTAATATATAAGTTCTTGATTTTCTGATTAGATAATAACTCTTATTCTAAATGTTTTTGCTGTACTCCAAATTTAGTATGAAATATATTGGTGTCCTTCTAAAAGTGACTAATTTTTGAGAACTTTTTTTTTTTTGTATCACAGGTGGGATTCTAAACAGATTCTCCAAAGATATTGCAATTTTGGATGACTTTCTGCCTCTTACCATATACGACTTCATCCAGGTTTGTAAAGAATAGCTATTATCAAGAGTTTTTCTGTTTGCCATAAAGTTTTCTCACTAGTTTCAAAAAGAAGCATGTGAAGTTTGGTTAATTTCCATACTAGTTGAATTCCTGGCTAATGAACACATTTAGGAAGAACAATCTTCAACAGTTACAAACTAGAGTAAATTCAGTATGGAGTCAGGTCTGATTATCGAAGGCAGGCCCACGATGGGATACTATCCACTTAGATTGATTTGAAATGTTCAAAAGACCATTTCCCCCCAAATCCTTGACCATAAAATCTGGCTGTTTGGTGAACACCCTCCATTTCTTAAGCCCCGCCCTGAGGTGCGGATGGAGTACCTGGACAGGCTACACTCTCCCTCAGCCTTAGCCATGAGCACTTCAAGCTAGGGAAGCACTTCAAGCACTTCAAGCTAGGGAAATAGTTTCCCCACAAAAGGGGGCTTAATGGAGGGATGGGAAAAATGATGGGATATTGAAAACATGAAGGAAAAGAAATACTCAGCCTCTATGAGGGCTATTCTTGAGTGACAGTTGTGACTAGATTGCCAGGATAGTCATGCTGTAAGGCTGGCTGCCAGTCAGTTAGTAAAAGGATGGTGGGTGGAGGTGGAAGTGACCTTGAAGATGCCACATCAGGACTCCAAAGTCACAGATCTCAGGGAAGTTGTAAGCTGATCCCCTTTCCTGCTGAGCCACGCACAGCTTTCTGAGCTGCTGATGGCCTCCTGAACCTTCAGAGAGGAAATGCACTTGGTGAAGTAGTTAGATCACAACACTGCCCGTATTGGGATAACACATTCTTCTCGCTTGTCCCCTCTCCAAAATACCACATTTCTGAAAGAACATGAAAAAAAAAAAATAGGGACTGTTCTCCTCATTGTATACACAAGCAACACCAGCAGATGCTGAGAAAGCTGCCGTTGTGTTCCTCCTCGGAAATGATTGATATAATCAAATACATTTAGTGTTCTAAGTGAACTGTATTTTGGATTTCCTTCATTACTGTGTTTAAAGCTATAACTTCACAGTAGCAGCACCTGCTAAAATATTTTAACCCATGTTTTGATTCATGTATTCAAAAGTGTTATTTTGTGTGTGTTTCTTTAACACGAGACATTTTGTGGCCCATTCTAGGACTAAACCATAGGTCTATGATATAAGTATACTAACATATATTGTAATAAAATATAATATAATCATATACAAACTGGAATATGGACATCTATCTGGATCTGTCTGCAAAAGCATTAAAAATGGTGTTGAGTAATTTTTTTAATGGTCTACTGAGTGTTTTCTGTCAATTTAAAGCTTAACTCAAAAATTTGGGAGAGCTAATTTTTAAATATTTATCTTACAATTTAAAGTTTTTGACATTTGTGATGGCTTTCAAGTTCTCCATAGCTTAAACAGTTTTAGCTCAAGTCCTTACAGCTGTTGAAGCTTCACAAAGTAGAAAAGCACTCAAAGATCTCCGTAGAACTGAGATTGACCCTGCCAGCTATTAAACCCATGGAAACTTACGGAGAATTGCCATAAGGAAGTTATACTTCGTTGGTTGTGAAAATGGCACATGCTTGATGTCATGTAGACCAGCTATCTGGTGAACACTAGTGAGACATACTGAGTTTGCAAACAACATTCTAATTTCCTGGGAGGTAATATAGCGAGCTGCCTGCATTGGATAGGCAAAATTAATTTTGATGGTATTGATAGGAAAAATACGTAGTTTTTCAATTAAGTCCATTCACTCTAATCTTTTTGTGTTATTAGAAAATCTCCAATTATTATAATAGAAACAGGTGAGTTGAGAGGGGAGTAAAACTTATTAAGTAATACTTTTCTCAATATTAAATATGAAAAATTAGGCTCAGAAAAGTGAGATTGCACACATGATGAACTTATATTCAAAATGGATATTTGTATCCCAAAATGTTCTGTTAAGAATGTTCCATTTTTTTAATGAACTCTTACAAAATCACAGAAGGTAACATTTTTACTAAAATCTCAAGTTTAGTCTTTCAAAGGACTAGATGAAGAAAATCATAGTCTTTTAAAATTTAATTTTTATAGGGTTTATAAAATATCTCAAAATCAGAGAACACCATATAAAACTTCAGGAATTTACATATTAGCAAAAGAAACTATTTTAAACATTGTTTCAATGTAACCTCTAGAAACTGCCTTTGAGCTAGCACCTTCCTCGTAGGATGAGCTAATTTTGTGGTTTTCGTTTCTGTTCTTAGCATAGAGCAGAGTGTAAGAACAATGTGTAGCTACAACCCCTCAACACACCTTGTCCATGTAAGCTCACTCACCACTGTGCTTCCCCCCACAGTTGCTGTTCATTGTGTTTGGAGCTATAATAGTCGTCTCAATTTTACAACCCTACATCTTCCTTGCAACCGTACCAGGGCTAGCAGCCTTTATTTTACTGAGGGCATACTTCCTTAATACCTCCCAACAACTCAAACAACTGGAATCTGAAGGTACTAAGTGGATTTCAGAGTCCCCCTGGGGCTAGGGGAGCCACATGAGCTTTTTTTTTTTTTTTTTTTTTTTTTTTGATTCACTACCATTATCCTACTTTCCAAAATGAGTTTTCTGCTTTTACCCTCTAATATTATATAACAGTGGTGTGTGTGTGTGTGTGTGTGTGTGTGTGTGTGTGTACATACTTGTCATGCAGTTGTGTGAAAACCAAAGGCTGATGTCAATCTCTCCTCCTCCCTCCTCCCCTCCCCTCCCCTCCTCTCTCTTCTCTTCTCTTCTCTTCTCTTCTCTTCTCTTCTCTTCTCTTCTCTTCTTTTCTCTTCTTCTTCTCTCCTCTCTTCTCTTCTTTTCTTCTCTTCTTTTCTTCTCTTCTCATCTCTGCTCACCTCTCACCTCACCTCTCCTCTCCTCTGTCTCTGTCTACCTGTCTCTCTCTCTTTCTGTCTGTCGTGTGTGTGTGTGTGTGTGTGTGTGTGTGTGTGTGTGAGTTGCTCACAGAATCTGAAGCTTGCTGTTTCAGCTAGAGAGGACCTGGGACCCTGAATATCGGCATTACAGATATTCAGCACAGGGCCAATGTTTTATTTTGTGCTTGGAATCTGGTCTCAGGCCTTGTTCTTGTGTAGCAAGCATATGACTCACTGAACTCTTCCCATTCCAACAATGATTTTTCAGATGTATGATAAACTTAAAAAGTACACATGGATTGGTTTTGTCAAATAGTAAGACTTTGTTTTGGCTTTCAAATAAGTATATAAACTTACCATGGTTGTGTGTAGACATTGGAATTTCTTACATTGTTCCAAGTAAAAACTGTCAATGCTGATATTCCTCAGGTTCTTCCAGATTTCAAGTGAAAACAGACAGAATTCTTCCCTTTAACTTATTGTCCTCAGACCTTTCCTTAACATCTTGTTTTCTTTTGGTCAATCTTTGTTTGAGTTCTTTAGGAAGTATCTCTTTCAGAAAGAGCATTGGTAAGGGGCATTTTTTTTTTTTAAAAAGAGAATAAACATAAAGTGCATTTCTGGTTTGAAACATATAAGCTAAATCAATTCACAGAAATTCTTCATTGAGAGACTTGGAAAATTGACTCTAAAGACAAAACCCATTTTTCTCAGCAGTTAGTAATTTAAGATTAGTGAAGAATAGTGGATATTGTTAGTCAGGTAATACAAGTTAACAAGGAGAAGGGTTCTGTCCTGTCATCACCTGTGGTTGGCTGGGAAAAGGGAAGGGCCATGGGTTTTAAAAGTAACCTTTTGTCTCGAGGTAAGAACCCCCATAACCATGGGTGCTTATGGCGAGGTTAGTCTTAAGTTAATCTTCGTCAGAAACATGGCAGTGTAAAATTCTGTCCTGTACTACAAGCCTCACATTCTCTCCTATGGGATGATTCACAGGCAGGAGTCCAATCTTCACCCACCTTCTTACAAGCTTGAAAGGACTCTGGACGCTTCGAGCCTTCGGCCGCCAGCCCTACTTTGAAACTCTCTTCCACAAAGCCCTGAATCTACACACTGCCAACTGGTTTCTGTATCTGACAACCTTGCGCTGGTTCCAAATGAGAGTAGACATAATTTTTGTCACCTTCTTCATTGTTGTTACCTTCACTTCCATTTTAACAACAGGTACTGTGAACTTGTCATTGTTAAACTTTGAGCATTTAGGTGAACATTTTTGTTAATAGATAAAATGCCATATTTTATATTTAAAAAATTTTTATGTTTTTAAATAGACTTGTGGAACTTATTAACCAGTATAAGTAAATTCTTTGCATTTCTGTTTTGTTTCCAAATAGTTTGTGTGGCTTAAAGGTTTATATGCTATTTTTCCTAGTTTCACTGTTGTAAAAATGATGAGACACTAAGTCAGAAAGCAAAAATGTGATTGACAGGGAAAAAGTCTTTTCATGGTAATGTTGGCCAAAGGTCCAGACTTCAAAATTAATTTAAAAATTCTGTATGAAAGAACTCTGAGTGATGGAAGAGAAGCACACATGAACAACTACTTGTTGGTAGAATTCTTTGTCTAATATGGATTTTGAATATAAAAATTGCCAAGGAAGTAAAATAGCTTAGATAAAAGTGCATTATATTTTAAATACAAAGGCTCTGAAATTTAGGATATTGGAAAACCACAAAGTGTTTCAGAATAAGAATATTTTAAATATATACTTATAAATGAATACCTCTATTTTAATATATTGGATTTCTGAGTCAAAATGCAATATATATATATATATATAATAGCACTTTATTATATATAAAATATTGTATATTATTTATATAGAGCAAACGTTAAGAGTGAATATCACGTCAATGCCAGATTTGCAACAGTATTTGATTATAAGAACAGAATTGCTCACCCCCAAATGAAGCACCCTTTGACAAATTATCAGAAGGCCTCATGCAGCTTCTGGGTGTGTGTCACACTTGGTTACCTCGAGGGACCAGAGCAGGCCCTGGAGAGTCAGGCTTAGTTATGTTTCTATCTCTCTAGCAGGTACTGGCTGTGTTTACTTCCTTCTAGGAATACTTCTGTTCTCTTATCTCTTTCTGTATCTCCCTCTATACCTCCCCTCCCTCTCTCAGAATATTAGTTGCTTTCATTTAGCAGGATTACACCACATGAACTCCATATGGCTTCTTTTAAATTCTACCTCTTGAATTAACAGTAGAGCTCCTCTGTCTAATTCTAAAGTCCTAGAGTGTAAAAAGAACTTTTGTTTGCCTGTTTCAATTGTTGTCTTGGAGGCTTACAGTCTCTTTCTGCTAAACTAGGCCTAGAATGGTTTCAGCCTCTGAGAATTACTTACTTAATAAGCTCACCCTTGTTCTTTCTAGCTGTCTGGTTCAACTCAGCTGTTCTGGCTCAAACTCATCTCCCAGCTGACTTATTCAGTAGAACTTCTCTTGGCACCTAAATTACTCTGCTTGGCTTCAAACTGATTCCAGCAAGGTCTTTCTAATCTTCTGGCTCCTTCTCATTCTCTGGCTTGTTCTGTCTTCACCTGTGTCTAGCTTGTTCTCTCATTCAACTTCTCTCTGTAAAACTCTCTGGGTAAAACTGCCTCCTCTCTCCCTCACTGCCCTGCCTTTTAGTAGCTTCCCTTTCCTCTCTCTTCTAGTGAGAGTTGGGTGTAGACTATTCTGTCAAGCCTTCAATTTGTCACTTTTTCTACAACTCAATTAAAACATCACTTTCAAACTTCCTTCTACAAACTCACTTTACCTTTGTTATCTGGGATTAAAGCTTATCACCACACCTGGACCTAAGGTTTTGGTTTTTTTTTTTTTGTTTGTTTGTTTGTTTTGTTTTTTTGTTTTTCCCTGAAACTTGCTCTATACAAGGCTGGCCTTGAAACCAGATCTACTTGCCTCTATCTCCTGGAGGCGTGATTGAATTCCAGCTGGATCACACAGACCTAGAAGGTCTTTAGATGTGATTCTTTTGCGAGAGCTGCCATGATCTCTTCACTGGAGAGAACAGAAAACAGATTCCTTTTGCCTTTGGGTCCTCTGCAGCTATGCAACTGCTGAGGACGGTCAACTTTCACATTCCTTGCTTTCTCCATGCATCACAAGGAACTGAATCTATTGAAAGAATATGTATGGGTAGGCATACTTGTAGTCATCTTGAGACCTTAAAAATATTTTGGGAGGCAGAACATTCACTGTTTTTGTATAAGCTAGTTGAATGGGGTTCAAAGACGACTAAATTACATGGATTAAGACTTACAAGTAATGCAAGCCAATGTATCACATGCTGTATCAGAATTGGTAAGATTATGACTGAGTCCTGGTTTACCAAGGTCCGTAGTCACAACATTTAAGTCAACATAGTACAGAATGTCCAGCTGGGATAAGAAGTGCAGCCTAAGGACCCAGCCATAACCAACCCTACTCTATCGATCTTAACTGTATTTTGGCATTAACTTATATTTACATAGAGCCATCAGTTAACTTCCCTAATTCCCTTGTGTGTACAGACACACACCAAAACCCCTCCCATACTATTGAGTGTGATAATTTGTGCAAAATAGTATAGTGTCTGTAATAAATGCCCAGTAACTATTATGTATTATTAAAGATTTACTTCCTTTCTTTAGCCTTCAGAATAAGAAGTATATAGGGTCCTTGGATAAACTTTTAACAATTTTCAGTATGTTATCTTGGAAATTTTGTAGTCATAATTCTGAATTTTTACATTTTAATTAATTGTTTTTCCTAATTCTAAAATAAATTTACTCTAAAACAACATGTTAACACTGTTCTTTTCAGGCATATTAGGTTTTTTTTTTTTCTTTTAATACAATGGGCAGACTTCTCTCTTAAATGGTTGGCATTAGTGTTCTGACCTTCTGGGGATGAAGTCTACTTTCTTCAGAGGACAGCCTCTGGTTAGCAGAGACAGTGTCCCTTGCAAAGGTGCTAATCATATCTGCTCATACATATTCAAATATATGTGTAACTACTTTGACTTTTTGTAGAGAATTTCATTTGTACTTGGGGCATCCCTCTCCCCCCAATCTGGTCCTCAATCAGTATTTGTTTTCATTGTTACATACAGAGTAATAGTAGAAGAGACAATTGTTATATATGCAATCCAGCATTACCTACAGGACTTAAACAGCATTTAAAAGTGCAACAGTTTTCCATTATTCATTCACAATTTGATTTTAAAAATTGGTTGAAATCTTATCCTATGAGGGCATTATTGTTCCTAGGAATCACTAATATCAGCATTAAGATATGAGTAAAGTAATTCACAGAAGAGAGAAATAACACATACTTTGTTCAAAACCTTTTTTTTTCATGTTTAGGTGAAGGAGAAGGAACAACTGGTATTATTCTAACTTTAGCTATGAATATCATGAGTACTTTGCAATGGGCTATAAACTCCAGCATTGATGTGGATAGTTTGGTAAGTTATTATTTTAAATTTTATGAAAAGTTAAGAAAAAGACAAAAACAGTAGGTAATAACAAAAGGACTATACATATGATCCAGTTTAAGAACTAAAATGTTTGGGTAAATTTAAGGACATTCTGTATCACACATTAAGCCATGGCATGATTTATTTTTTATCCTCATGGATCATCACTATGAACACTCTTGCACATGTGTCTTTGCCCAGGAGTTTGCCAAAGCAAATCCCAGGAGTGGAAGGAATCTCTAGGAACAGAATCTCCCCAAGCCCAGCTTTACTGATGCCGAATTACTCTCAAGTCTGTTGTGCTAGTGTGTACTTCCACCAAGAGTGTGTGTGGACGCTTCCAGCAATACTTGTTATGCAGACTTTTTACAGTTTTCTAGTCTGATGTGTGTGAGGTCACTACTAAGCTGTCAGGATAGCTTAGGTGCCTACTTATTGTTTGACCATTTGGTTTCTGTTTGCTTGCTTGCTTGTTTGTTTGTTTTCTCTTTCTGTTGAGTGCTTGTTCAGGTTGGCCTACTTTTCAACTAGATGAGTTTGTGTTTGTGTTTGTTTTTTCCTTAATTAGCTTGTTAGGTGTTCGTGAATCCTGGGTCAGTTGTCAGTTCCACGTATTGAAATGGCCCTTGAGCCAGTGGCTTTACTCACAGCATCACTTGATGAAAGGAAATATTGAATTTGATGGAGATTAATTTATTATCCTTTTCTTTTATGGCTTGTGCATTTGCTATCATGTTTAAGAAATACTTCTCTATGTTAGGTTTTCACATTCATCAGCCTGACACTTTTCATATCATTCTTGTCTAATTTTTAAAATGTCTGGTCTTAGTGATTATTCCCTCCTAAATTTTGGTCATTGCTCCTCCCCTTTGTGCTTGACTGATGTTGTCTTGCATTTGTGTATTTTGTGTGTTCAAACATCATATTTTGGCTTATCGTGTCTTCTACCATAGACTGAGAGCCTGAAGTGATAATTGTGTGCTAAAATGGTGTCAAGGACTATTAACTCTGCAAGGGCCAGGGTGAGAAATGAAAGGATGCTAGATAAAGTTCCCTATTTACATGTTTTTGTTTTACACTTTATACATCTTTATATTAATTACAGTTTATTCACTTTGTATTCCAGCTGTAGCCCCCTCCCTTTTTCCCTCCCAACCCCACCTTCCCTCCCTCTTCAACTCCCATACCCCTCTCCATTCACACTTTAATAAAAGACCTATTTTCAGTTACACTTCAGAGCTGGACTGAGACCTTCATCACTGATTTCCTCTTAAAATTTTGTTATTTTTTTATGTAGGTAAGGGGTGCCCATGCCGCAGCATAAGTGTGGAGTTTGAAGGAAACTTGTGGGAGTCAGTTCCCTCTTTTCACCGTGTGGGTCCTAGGGACTGAACTCAAGCAATCAAGCTTAGAGCAAGTACCTTTGCCTGATGAGCCTTCTTTGCTGACCACCATTGAATCTTAAGTTTTTGAACTACATTCATCTATTCATTACTTCATTCCTGGAGGGTCCAGAATCCCCAGTTAAAAAATCATCATTCAAGCTGGGCACAGTGGCATATGACTGTAATCCCAGCACTCAGGGAGGCAGACATAGGTGGATCTTTGATTTCGACATCACCTTGCTCTACAGAGTAAGCTCCAGAACAGCAAAGGCTATACAGAGAAACACTCTTCTTGAAAAAAAAAATCACCATAAAACTCCATTTACTTACATTTTCAGATACTCATTCATATGGTTGTAAAATTTCTTCAATCAAATTTTCTCTTAACAGAATTTATAAATATGTCCCAAAGGAAAAACTTAAAATCTTTTAAACCCTCTTCATATCTGTGTGTCCTCATAGTTTGCTGGGGTATCTTTATAAGTCCTTGAAATATAGTTTTCTTGTATTTCTTTTAATTTTTTAAGCTAGGCCAATTCCTGATCTCTTATCCATACTTCTTTTTGGTTGCATTTTTGTCTTAAGAGCTCTTATAAAGACACATGTACATGTTGGATGTAGCTGAAGAATATTATGAAAATGCTGTTTCTATTTTCTTAAATTTTTACAACTGTAACTTTATAATTCAAAAACCCTTGTACACATTATCTATGTTTTTACTTAAAAAAAAAAAAACTCTTCACCTTGTATCTGTGTAATTCCCTTTGCAACACAATTTCATGACTTAATGACACACCCAGACTTTTGATATTGCAACACAATGTTGTCATTTACAGAGTTCACGCTCAGGATCTGTACAATTGAGGTACCCAACCAAATCACACACATGCAACCTAAGGTTTTTCATAAGCTTAGGATTCCTCTTAGGGCTCTATTTATGCAGCCTTGTGAACTGTGAGTTGGACACTCCTTTTGGAATATCCTATGCACATGCTGTTAAAATTTCTGCTCCATGTGTCTAGTGGCCACTAGAGATACTTGAAAGTATTTTACTTTTCCAGGTTTTCCCATTGCTATGGTAGACTTTATAGCCTGTTCTTAGACATTGTGTCTTTCATGGTGTATGAAAGGACCTTCACAAGGACCTATTGTGTCTGAGACAGTCTATGAAAAGTATCAATATTTGCATTTGATTACATTTTCAAAAGTTATGCTCTTTTGTTTGATATCAAAGAGCATATGTAAGTTTTCATTTCCCTGCCAAGCAATGATGACAGCTTTCCTGGATGTTTGTGGTCCATTTCTGCTATTAACTCCCATCATTCTACTCTCACACTGATGCTAAAAGTGCCTAGTAGTGCTTTTATTTTCACTTTTTTCTTTGAGAGTCAAAGGGGAGGAAGAATGAGCAGTGCCTTCAGATTTCACACCCACATGAAATAACCACCAAGGTCTTACAACCCTAAGCTTGTGTGATGTCATTTTACCTTACTGTGTTTTTAGTTCATTTAGAGTGATCTGAATTTAAAATGGAACAAACACAATGTTTTCTTTGCCACATACTTCACTTTAAAACTAAGTACAGGGCCACTCAGAAAAAATTTCCAGAGTTGAAACAATTACTTCATTTACCCATCTGCCCTAATGTAAGTATAGATGCAGAGTCAATTTGACTATTAGGTTGTAAACATAGAACTTTGTTTTCATTCTCTACCTGCTCCTTACCCACAGATCCCTGGATTTCTTTATCTTTCAACTATTAAATCCAATATCACAACACAACTGCTACCTCAGGTTATGTTGTATTTATGATCACATATATGAAATGCTGATACTCAGAACCCTTTTATAATGTTTCTATAACAGCTTTTTATTTATTCCCCAAAACAGCTCTTTCCTTTATTCCTGCATCCTTTTAGACATTATGATAATTCTATTCCTTAAAAATCTCAGCCAATGACATTCCTACCTGTTTCAAACAAATGTGTGCAACCGGAAATAATCCCGTCACTGTTCTCTACTAGCTGTTTCTTAATTCAGCAACTGCTAGAGCATCTTCCAGTGGACATGACGTCTCAGATCACGAGTTCCTATACAGGCTTATTGAACCTCTACTCATATGTACCCTTCCTCGATGTCCTTGCATCTCTATAGAGGCAAATACTATGTAGTTTCCTGCCTGTTGGGAGACTTGTCTTACCAATGAATACTCTCACTTGGTCTCCAGTTCCTATTCCAATTGTTTGACCTATTTCCAGCAAATTTTCTAAAGGGATTGCCTTTATCTGTTATATCTTCTGTTCTTCACACAGTTTATTTCTTTTCCATCACCCACATGAGTCACAATAAACATATGCACAAAGCGACATCCTTGTCTTCTGCAGTTGTTGAGCAATATTTTCCATAGATGAATCCTTACACTGCTTCATTTTTCTGCCACTTCCTGGACCTTCATCTCGTGTATCTTTTAAAACATCATTTGCATTACAGCTGTCCTCTATCTGCATTCTCTCTACCTATTATCTAACCTCATGCTTCAAAAGCTGTCTCTTGATGAATCATAGGTTGATATGTTTAGTGTACATCTCTCTATTGCTCTGTAAATATATAAAGCTGCCATCTCGACACCTCCATGCGTTCATAAGACAGTGCTAGACTATTTTCTAGTAGATTTGACTTGCTGTGTTGGGAGCTGTGGTATCAATACAGAATACACACAAAATCATAAGAGACTATTAAAATGACACAAAGTTTCTACACCCTTCATTTGCCAGGAAGGCTAAATAAATAAACAAGATCCAGCAAAGGTGTAAAACCTGATATTTTAAACTTAGCAGTATTAAGCCATCTGGTGACTAAGGGGTTGTTCACACATAATGTGTTCATTTGCTAACCATATCCTTCCAGAACTGTCTACCACAGAAGGAACAAAAAGAGAACTTTCTTAATAAGTGAATGCTACTGCCTTTGTTTTTCAAGACCAGCAGATAAGCATCCCCATTTCCACTAAATGATTGTCCTGTTGAACTGAACTGTATGTCCCTAGTAAAAAGAAGGAAGGCTCAAGGTTAAGGACAGCTAACTTACAAGGCTTCCATTTAGATCACCATTAGTGAAGTTCCAGAAAGTTCTTGCATGGTTGGTGCAATCTGAGAAGAGTTTTCTGTCAATACAAACTCTCTCTGTTTCTGCTTTGTCCTTTCATCACCTGTGTTTATTTTGGGTTCTACTTAAGATCAAATGACTAATTGTAGAATGAGCAACATGAAATGGTGGGAGGAGAAAAAAAGAATTTCTCTTTTCATCATGACTGTTGTTAACAAATGTTCTTTATGAAAGCAGTTTCTGTTATAAGGATCTGACAGAGGAATTAATTTATCTTCTTTGTCTTCTGCCTCCTTTTAATGGTAGATTGATTGTAGTTTGTTGTTGTTGTTCTTAAAAAGTCTTTGTGGTGTATTTTTCAAGACATATTACCCATCCAACCACAGAGAGCCTTGTATTTCATTCTGGCTCAGATACTAAAAAGCTGAGTACCTTTAGGCAAGTCATTGTTCCGCATTTCCAGGACCTTACTTTCCTCTTCTCTAAAATGAAATGGTT